AGACCCACCAAAACCAACAGGCACTCTTCTGCCCTCACCCTGTAGCAGGATCAGGGACAAAAAGCACAGRCAAAGAGAGCAAAGAAGTCTGTGTTTTTCAGATACTGTTCTTCTCCATCTCCTTGATCCGAGGAGGCTTTGTCTTCCTCGAGCAATGGTAACTAAAGCAGCGCTTATTTTGTTTTTTTTACAGCTTGCACGAGCTCCTCTGCTAGCATTTCCGTGAATATCCTGAATGGCAGTGGCAACGCAGATGACACGAGCACAACAGATGTATGGGACCTGACCAGCCTCAGTGGTTAGAGTGAAAACCTAAAATTCAACTTAATAACTCAGTTGCAACAGAGACTCCCTTTATAACTTCAGCAGGTGTCTCATCTGTACACCACGGGAGAAAAGAACCCTGCCTTCTCCAGAGTGCTCTGAGGATGAGATTTTGGGAGGCATTCTCACATATGGAGGGCACAATGATCCCCAGAAACCTAAAAGCAGTAATTCTGATGGGTACATACAGAGCTCTCTAGTTCCAGCTGGACATTACTCTACCAGTGAGATGGAGCCAGAGAAGTTGTTGTCTTAACCAGGCCCCTAACAGCTGATCAGCTCTCATGCTTACTGTTCTAAGCTCATTGGCTCCTGTGCTGCCCCTCATTTTACAATCAATACAATTATTAAACTGATTAAGAAAGACAAAATAAAAAAGAACCTACCTGCTGCTGTGATGGTCCCAAGGGACCAAGGGCTGCTCTGCACTTACTATCAGCATCACTCACATACTGCAAACAGCAGGTCCACACCACYACCACACTGCACACAGGAGACTATCCCCTTATTGCCCTCACCCAGGGCCCTGACCTCAATTATTCACTGTGCTTAGCAAGGACATTATTAAAGCTGACTCTCTGCTCCCAGAAGAGCTATCAAGTGTCTCTCTTTAACTCAGCAGGAACTTTTTCCTCACCCCATGCCCTTCTTATTACCCTTTAATGTGCCCTGAAGCCTCCAAAGCAGCCCCATCCAACCAGATAATATCATTTCCAGGAGRAAAGTAGAAAAAGCAGAAGAGTCTTTTCGTGAAGATTTTTCCTAATGTGCTCCAAAACATTCTTTTTATTTCTTTTTTTCTTTTCTTTTTCAATTATTCATCTCTGATAATCACTTCTAAAACCCAACAGGCCTCTCTCTAGTCACAGAAATTGCATAGCTGGGGATTAAGGCTTGTTAAAGTTTCTGGCAGGACACTTGTTCTTTTTACCTGTAAAAACTGATCACAACTGTCTACTGTGATTAAAAAGCAAGTAGATTTTAATAACTAAACACTAATTAGCTTACATTTTAATCACAGCTTGTATCCCAAACAGAAACAGGAGTGCCRCTGAAACCTAATATAAAATGTCAGCAAATGTCTACCCTTCTCTGCTTGGCAAATCCAGCTTGCAATGTGCTGCTGACATCAGTAAACTGGAGGGCATTGGGCAATTCTCTGTGCTTCTTCTCAGCTCTGTCTGAGGCTCTATGCAGGGCATGAGCCTTAGGGGGCTTCACTTTTGCAAACACTAGCTCATTGGAGATGGTTCCTGCAGCTGCATCACGGAGCCTCAGCAGCTTCTACCTCACCCTGCTTCTCTTCGGAAAGCTCTTGAGATGAGAACATCCCGRCTCATCTCATCTCAGCAAGGGAATCACCCTCTAAACTTGGTTCCTGCCTTGTGCTGTTAGGTATTCTTAAGACATAGACTTACCCTTCTAAGATTACAAAAGTAGCACAGAGTAGGAATGATCATTTTCTTAGACTGTTGCTAATCTGGCTATATATATATATATATATATATCTTCCAGATTATTTTTTTTCCTTATTTCAACAAAACCACGGGCCTGAAATTGCAAATTTCTTGGTGAAAAATAGATCTTTTTTTGGTAAACAAAAACAAACACAGCAATTTCCATCTCAGAAGCCTTTAGTCTAAACGCTTCTACAGATTTTTCAAGTCCAAACTGTGCAAGAAGTCTAGGACACCAAGGTTTCCAAAACCTTTTTCATGCTCTCAGCTCAGCCAACGCCTTGCACAACAAAGCCACGCAAGGAAAGGAAGCCACCCGAGCTCCCAACCAAGCCCTGGCCGGCCGGTGGGGCCGTGGGGAAGGTGCTACCTGGGCACCCTCTCCTCTGATGGGCAGGCTGGCACCAGGGTGACCAGGCACCCAGCACCAAGGGGATGCTGCTCTACTTTGCTGTGGGCTTTTGCCACAGAATCTGTGGGAGCTTGAAGCTAATTAGCTGTGGGATTAAGAGCAGGGAAGCTTTAGCAACGCAGCATGTACCAGCGTGTAGGGGACCTTGGGTCTTGCCTCAGGGCATGTCTAATCTGCTGCTGTGTTACTGTTACTGCTACCGGTAGCTAACTGGTTAGAGGCACCTGCAGTAGAGGCCCATCCCGTCGCACGGTGCAGCTTTGGCTGAACCTACTCATCCATCCTGCAGTCYTGCATCCCTCCCAACGCAGGCCGGGGGAAGGAAAACTCCTCTGTGATGTCTGAATGCAACCACTGTAGTTTCCACCTTCAACTATTGTCCTTTACTACGCGATTGCCCAGTGCCTACTGTAACGAGGCCCTGATCTCCTCCAGAGCCCCTAGGGGCTGCTATATTGCAAAAGATCCGAGCCAAAGCCATCACAGAGCACACACGTGTTCATTAAACCTACCCTTTGACTTATATTAGACAGCTGAAAAAGGCAGCAGCTTTCAAATATAACGCTATGACTGAGTATTGCCAGCACGACAAATGTGCTGTGGATGAGAATGCTCCCTCCCTCAAAATATCTGTTTTCAATACCCACAAAGCAGTATAATGCCATTTAGCAAGGAAAATCCTGGCAGTCAATGCACAATCTGGCAGAGCTGTGAGTCCTGTAGGTGTTATGATACACACACAACATGTTTTACAAATAGAAAGTGGTTTCCAAAGTTCTCTAATATATTCTAATTCCCCCCACCTCTGCCCAAAAAAGCTGCAGTTATGAAAATACTGTTGCGCACTGAAATATTAAACTAGAAATCTGAAGAGAGTTG